CGTAGGATTCTTTTCCGCCGCCGATTACAAGGACGTGTTTGTTTGATAATTGGTATGCTACGAGGAGTGAGAGATGTGATTTTTCGATCTTTTCCATTTTGGTGTTTTGACAGAATCTTTGTGGAAAAAAAAAAGATTTGAGATGGAATCATCTAAATTGGAGAGATTGATGATGGAGAGATTGGGGTTGAGTACAATCAATATGGTCTCGAATGTAAAACGGAAAGCTGACAACATTGATGATTTGGAGATACCCAAACACAGCACATTGACGAAAAAGAAAAAGAATATTCCATCTGGACGAATTGTCGAGGATTTACGGGACGATGATTTTGAAGATGGGTTGGAGAGTGGACCGGACGAAGAGAGTGATGAGTATAGTGACGATATGTCGTCTGATGAAGATGGTGCTTCGGACATTGAATCGATGCAAATGCTAGACAATTCAAAGAAGGAACCGGAAGTTGTTGTGTTCTCGGAAGGACCTAAAGTTGAAGATTTGATGTTTAATAAGCGAGAAAAACGAAAGTTTATGGTATGTTTGAAATCCGACGTTGCAATTCCGTTTTTACAATTCTTTCGGTTCTTGTAGTCTTCTAAATTAAAAGATATGCTAGATACCAAGAAACCTGTATCGTCAAAGGAAAAAGCTCAAGATGAGTATGTGTATTCTGCGTGAAATATTTAGCACAACATCCTAATCAAATTCAATATCATCCAGTGAAGACGATAAACATGATCGCGAATTAATGGATTTACTCAAAGTTACCAAACTCGTAGAACAATTTAGTACGTTCTCACTTTCTCTTTCTAATAACTGAACCAATAACCATCTTCTTTCAAACCAGCCGCTGATGATCTAACAGGGAACGATAGACGAAACTACATGAAACGAAAAGTCCAAGAACTTGGTGGAAAAGCTTCTAAAGCACCTAAAGCTTCTCTGTCCATGGCAATCGGTTTACGAAAGGCAGAATTAGAAAGAGGAAAGAAACGATTGCAAGAGGTAAAACCAAATAAACTACAACTCTCGCACCGACGTCTTTAGTTTAATTTGTTTTTTTAAACAGGCCAAAGATCTGGGTAATTATCACTCATCGCTAAAAAATAAATTCCGAGACGCCTTGAGTAAACAAGAAAAAGACGACTCGAGAAAGAAATTCAAGCGGTCACAACGAGACCGAGTTGATTTGGTTGATAGTGGAGGAATAGGGAAGTTTAAAGGTGGTGTACTTCGTGTAAGTAAGAAGGATATCAAAACTATGGATACGAGGGCTTCGAATCGTACGGGACCGTCGAAGAAGTTGTTGGGTACTTTAGATGGTGCGGGAAGGAAAGTTGGGAAGGGTGCAAAAGTGAAAAAAGGGAAAAAGTGGAAATAATATACAAATCATACAGTATCGATCTTTTTTTATTGCATTTTTCCCACAGCGTAAGGGTGTACTTTGTGGAAATCGAGTCGTTGCCAAGAAGTTGGTCGAGAGAAATACGATCATGGAATCTGATGGATGTATACTTCTTGCGATTGCTAATCATTGCTTATCAAGTCGACTAGCGCAGTGAAAACTAGAAATGGATGCCAGTGGGGAATTTGTGAAATGACAGAGTTATGCTGATTTAGTGCGTGGTTGATTTAATAAGATTATAAGATGGACATAGGACTAGATGAGTAATGTATTGAACTTAATTTATTTATCTGAATGCGAAAGACAAAAACAAAAAAGCTTTAAAATTTTAAAGTTCTCAATAATTTGCTTTCAGCATTTTCAAGGGTTTGAAACCTCCTACGGCAGCTTTACAAATTTTAAGAACCTATGTTAACAAGTAGTCCGACCAACCCCGCCGTATATCATGATTAAAAAAATAAAAGAAAAGTGGAATTGGCACTACAAGCGCCCACAAAAGCTGACGGTCGCAGACTACCGTCACTTGGAACGACTCCACTCCTCCGCGGAATGAACCACTTTGGACTGGCTACTGCCCAAGTTGTGTTGCGCGTAAAAATTGTTCAAATTAAATGCGAAATAACTTTTTGTGTATTGAAAAGTGGCTTTGAGAAACTTCGCCAAAAATTTTTTTACGGTAATTACTTTATACTTATTTACATAGCTGTTATCGCGAATAATTCAAAACGTGTACTACTCTAACCGTTCCATCCAGTAGCAGCATCCACAAGTATCTTTTGTCTGCAGACAATTGATATTTTTTCTCGTTTATTCTTTTCATGTCGTTTTGTCATCATATCTTCCTCTTGATGCAGCAAGAGTTGATTCAATCTAGCTTTCTGCATTTCGCCTACATGAGACAAATTTACCAAGTGAACCGAAGAAGGATGAATGTAATTTTGTGAGTCCAGCAATCGCAACGACAAATTCGAGTGAGGGTTTGATTTGTTTGCACAGTTCTTCGTCTGACGTTGTTGTTTTTCAAAAGCAATCGAAGAGGATGGTACGGATTCGATTTTGGTAGCTAAAGTAGGAAAATACGTTTTCTTTAACGCTGAGAGCTTGTAAATCGGAGCAGTCGAGTGCACTCGTTGCAAAATTTCGCTTGTTTGGATTGATCCGTGTTGAGTTTTCGGTCTCTGTAATTGTGTATTTTGTCGTTTTGCGGGTGGGAACGTCGGCAACAGAGCTGGTAAGGTTTCGAGATGATCTTCCTGAACGTTTGAGTAGTTGTTGTGGTTGGAGTCAAGGGTGGATTCCTTATTCAATATCGATTGTTCTTTTTTTGATGCAGGCGTTGTATGCGGACGCCGAATGCAGGTTTGTGAACGGGGAAACATTTGCGTCGGAAGGATTTTAAAGAATGTGTTTGTTGGATTTTTCATTATGGAAAAATCTACGATTTTGTTGTGTAATCGAGGAGCTTCATTAGTGCGAGTTGCTGATTTTGCAGATTGTTGTTGATTAGGATTACTTTTATTAATGTATTTAATCGCTTTATATTTATCTGATGTATTGGAGTGTTGATCATTTGTACAGCTTTGCGGCGAATCAAGTTTGAATTGTACCATTAAATTGATAGGTTTATTACCCAATTCTAACATAATCCTTACATTATATAATCCAACCGTGCATTTCAAACCAATCAGTTTCAGCGCAGAAGATGACCAGACACGACCAGGATACACAAAAAAAGAACCAGCTCAGCTCGGCTCAACTCTGCATGGATTTAAGCAAATTAAAAAAACCTCAACGAAACCGTCACCTCCCATCGAACGAATACAGTGCCGGGGATGTACTTCAAAAAAATCTTCCGTCTCCGCCGTGAATTCTGAAACATTCAACTGTAATGTTCAGAATAATTTTCTGAATTTACGCCAACGGTTTAAACGTCGCTTCGACTATAAGTTTCCAGAATTGTAGCAGGTGAAATATCTTCAACTCAGAGATAAAAGCGCTTTTTGCGAGTTTTAGAAGTGGGAAGTGAGTGCAATCAGCGACGTATAAACTCTTTGCATGATTATCGATACAAGGTGGCGAGTAAGAGTCCCAAAAATTGTTTTATTACCAACGATGATGGTGGTGGTGCGAAGGTTGGTTATATCGGAAAGATGATTGTGAGAAGAATCACGAATTTACAATTGGACGGAGTTCCGAATGCACTTTGAAGGAAGATCACAGCGCGATGGAATCGGTTGATAGCTTATATTATTTGAGTCTAGGTAATGTGTGACACTTGCTTTTGTAAAGTTTGTTAAATTTGTAATTTAACATTTACTTAACTGTTTTCTTGTTTTACAAGGTGATTCAGGGTTCAATTTAGAGAGAGAGCATGCATTTGGGCGGTCTTCAGAAGCTATTTAACAATTCCAAATATCGCGTCAAACGCATACTGTTGTCGGGAAAGTTGGATTTACAAACTCCCACAGACGTTTCGAAGACTACAATCAAGTAATAAATACTTTTTATTTACATTAATTATTATTTCTGGACTTTATTAATAAATCTAATTTAGCTTTTGCTGTGGGGTTTCGTCTTGCTATTCTTTGGAAAACGTCACCAACACAAGATTATTAATTTAAACTGCACTGGCGCGCTGACGTCAATCCCCACAAAACAGGTATAAAAACTTGAAACCCCGACAATTCAAATATTTATTTTCATCATAGAAAATGACTGCAACGGCAAAGTACAACTTCGATACTTACTGGCCCTACTACGATTACGATTACACACCTGCTGACGTTGCGCATTCAATTCCGCGACATGAAAGATCGACCATCCGTACAACTCCATCTCTTGGAACCTTTTGGCGTCCGAGCACAGATGTTTACGAGGTAATTTTTTGTTCGTTTTTGGTCTCGGATTTGAAACTATGTGACGTGAACGCTATGGATTTTATTTTTTAGACTGACGATGAACTTGTTATCCACGTCGATCTTCCAGGCGTTCCAAAATCCGAAATCAAACTCGAGAGCGAGGAAGGACAGATTGTTGTTCATGGAAACCATAAAGCGCCGATTGAAGCTGCTACATCTCGTGTTCGTGAGCGTCAGATTGGGTTATTTAGGAAGGTGATCATTAAAAACTTTTTTGTTTTTCGCTTTCTGAGTTTTTTAATGAATTGTATTTCCGTTTGCTGTAATAGGTTGTAAAGATTCCGGAAGAGATGGATACTTCCAAAACTACGGCAAAGTACGAGAACGGATTGCTCGAAGTACGTATTTCTGGCTTTTTCACAAAACGAATTAGTATTTATTTATTTAACCGAATTATGTAGATCACGGTTCCGAAGAGAGACACTGTCAGTTCATCGAGAAGAAAGATTGAGATTAATTAGTTGAAATTGTTGCGTTATAATTGCGATTCATTTGATTGTTGCACATTATTTGCAAATATAGCTTTCGATTATTGAATTACCGTAAAGCAAGAAAAAATGAATATGTCGGTATCATAAGACAAAACACGAGCTGTGTGGGAGAGCGCGGTTCGAACGCCTCGATTGAGAAACAAAAAACCAAAAACTTATCAGGATTAAGACGCAAAAAAATTACGTGCGGAAAGTGGGGTTCGAACCCACGCGTATTACTACATTGCCACCTGAAGACAACGCCTTAACCTCTCGGCCATCTCCGCTAATCTAGATAATAATGATTGATTTTCTATCACCTAAAAATTTTATTGATCTAATTTTTTTTTTCGACTGTGGAACTGAACGGTAACGATGATGTGAGTTGCTTTGGCAATCGTTTAAAATTGCGACGTTGATCGCGAAATTTTTGCGTTCAACTGTGCGAATAAATTTTTTGCAGTACTGTAGTAGCAACTCATGATTAGGCTGAAGAAGAAAAAGCTAAAAAAAAAATGAAACGGACTAAAAAAATTTGTCATTAAAAAAATTTAACTTTTCCGTAAAAATTACGACTGTACAATTTCCCTTGCTTGGCCAATGTCAATCATGAAGTAATTTGTCAAAACCAGTTAAATTAATTTTTTTAACTTTTTGTCCATAAAAAAAAAGAAAAACTCAAAAATAATAAGTTATTTATCTGTATTTTTTATTTAATTTGTTAAACCTTTTTCTGGCTCTCGTTATGGATTCCGACAAATTCAATCTCTTTGATTCCGCAGATTACCTCGACTCTTTGCTCTTTGGCGACTACAACGATCCGTCATCTTTAAAACCATCAAACTTATTTGCCTTTGATCAGCAAACCGTTCCGTCTTCTGTATCTCCCTCTCAACTCGTTGTTTCTCCAAATTTAACTACTGCTGCAATTGCTGCTACGTCATCTTTATTTAACGCGAATTCCCCTATCGATACGAAAGAATCTCAATTGCAGTATGAAATAAAAGGTCTCGGTGATAGAGTTTCGCGTTTGGAAAGTATTGTTTTAAAAATGGTCAGCAACCCGAATTCAATTTCCCAATTCTCAAATATGTTGAAATCCACTGATGATTGGAATTTATCTAATGGGCACGCTCTAGGTAAGTTATAATACTCGCGTTAAATGTATTTCTGAAATTTTCTTATCAGGAATGGAATCGACCTTGCAGACTCCTGCGAAATCAGCTCAATCATTGCGGCAATACGGTTATTCTTCGTTTGGTAATCGCGAAAGCCCTACGACTGTAATCAATGAACCGACAAACAATCAACCTTTCGGCTTCGTCACTGAAAAAGTACCCACATCGAACACAAATCAACCAGACGAGAACTTTGATAACCGCACGATTGAACTTTTCATCAACGGATGTGAGCGCAACTTTGCCCTTCCTTCCCCGCCTGAATATCATTCACACTATGACCCAGAGACGTTTGTTGCAGCGAGTGAGCAGCATGTTGGAGGAAAAAAATGGGAGAACGTACCTGCGAATCATAAAACAGCAGCATCCGAAGATTTCGTGTGGAAAGATCTGATTAATCAAGAGTTCGGACAAACGGTGCAATACAAATCAACCCATACAACATTCGTGAGGAAGTTTCTGCGTGATCGAAATGTTCCAGTCCTCAAGCGAAAGGGTGATAATAATCGTGAGTCGTTGGTCGTCCCAAAAGAGCTTGCAGTAGAGTTTATCAATACGTTTAAGAAGAAGTATTCGAAAGATATCGAGTCGGGTGAAGAAGATGAAACTAATGATGATTCAAAGTCGCGAGCTAGTAAAAGTCCGAGTAAACCAAGCAAAAGCCCCAAAAACCCAAGTAAAAGTCGAATGGGCGGAAAGACCAACCAGTTTGTTATTGACGATGACGACGACGATGACGCATTCTTCACTGATGGCTCTGAACGTGAATTAAAAAGGGGAAAATTTTCAGAAAGTGGAACCGAAGCGGATGATGAAGCAATTCAAAAAAGCGGCGTTCTCACTCGAGCACAAAGATCTAAATTGTTACGCAATTCGCTTCCAAACCACGAAAGCAACCACGCACAGGACAACTTTACTGGCATTACAACGAGACGACGAAGTTACTCTTCGAGCCACGACCTTTTGCACGATCTGACTGAAACTTCTGCTGCATACGAGCATTATGTTGATCCGGCGGCGCTCTTGAGAAGTCAGATTCGAAAGCAGAAACGGTCGGAAGCGGCAGCAATGCAGCAATTCCACGGAAATTCGTCTGTAAATACAAATGAGAGTGTAAATGTCGATTACGTATTTCAACGAAAATCATTTGGTCTTTCTCCTTTTCTTATTGAGGATGACCAAGACGATATGTAAAAGATTTTGTATTGAATGTTGATATTAATAAAGATTTTGTTACCCAAATTCTTTTATCCATCGACCGTGCGAGTAGATATGTTTTTAATTAAATTCATTCCGTTGAAGATGAAAATTCCCAATTAATCCGTATTGAAAGCGTTCTGTTGAATAACATCTCCAATGAACCATCGCTTGGTTTTTCTGCCAACCTACTCCGTGTAAATGTTTGAATAATCCTACGGTATTGCTGGAACATAATCGTTTGCTTAAAACATGCGGAAAAAAGTTTTCTATGAAGATTAGAAATGTCGGTTTGGTGGAGGAAAGAATGCGCTTAAACGTTTAATTCAAATTTCCCGAGTTGCGGTTATGAATCGACTTTTCGATGAAAATGGGTCATTATTGATACAAAGACATATGATATATTCATTGATATTCAAAACAATAAATCAAGAAAGAAACAAAATCCAAAAAAAAATATAATACGAAAAATTACTTGAACGACCTTGCAAAAGAATAAACATTCAATCCTCCGAGCACCAAATAACACAACAACGTAACCCCGATTCCAATTTCCCTACTAAGACTCGCTCCAGCTTTTTTGGACAACATTCCAAACCCGTGAAGAACTCGCGCAAAGAAAAATACCGACAGAGTAACGTAAAGAATGATGTTTGTATTTGGCGCGTCATTAGCTTCCGCTATAAATGCGAGTAGAAGAATTATCGGCATGTTTTCTACGTAGTTGGCATGTGCGCGTATGTGTTGATTTAATTCGTAGTATCGACTGTTTCGCGGATTAAACTCTTGTTCTGGTTCAACGTTGTGAATTAATAAAGTTAACAAATCCAATTTAATTGAAGTGCTTTAAATAAATACCTTCATCTCCTCGATGATTCTTATCGAGCTGTTCCGTAAGGATTTGATACGTTCACCCAAAGAAACTTTAAACTTCATTCTTTTCATTCCAACCTGACCCATGTAATATATCTGAAAAAACATGCAGAATTGTGTTAATTTACGTTCTGTTTCCAGATGTTTATGGGCTACTCTACCAAAAGTAACACGTAAAGTGCAGAGAAAAAAGCTGTGATCGGATACTGGAAAGCCATGTGTCTTGGGTATTTTCTTGGATCAAGATAAAATCAGATGTTGTTTGGTTTTGAAGAACGAGTTCGTCCATTTTATACGTTTTGTTTTCGCCAATGATTTCTGTGTTTTTGATCAGGCGCATGTGTGCACAGGCACGGTTATTTGTCAGACCAACATCAAGGAATTGGCGTTTTGAAATTCAGAAAAAGTTTGTCTGGAAAAACGGATAAATATCAGCATTTTCTCTTTATTTAGTGGATGATCGAAAAATTTGTGTTTGCAACGTGATCGCCCTAAAATCCCTGAATTTTCGAATTTTGCAAGTTTGTTTGTTCTCAATCCGTTTCCACCATGCAATCACCGACTGACATTCAAATAATAAGCTTCACTTGTTAGGCAACACAGTACTTTTATTTTATTTCAAATTGAATAAAAATGAGATCAAACAAAAACAAATCACAAAAAATTTATCGTTATTTCTTAAACGACATTGCGAATGAATATACATTCAGTCCACCAAGAACCAAATACGTTAAATTTGTAATTAATGCTCCAGCACTTCTACCCCAACCGCTCCCTCCTTTGGAAATGATCCCGATTCCATGCAAGATCCGTCCGACAAGAAACAACGAAAGAATAACATATAAAATGATACTTGTACCAGGAGTGTCATTTGCTTCAGCGATGAAAGCTAATAACAACACAAGAGGCATGTTTTCAACGTAATTCGCGTGGGCTCTGATATTTTGATTTAATTCAAAGTACGGACTGTTTTGGGGTAAAAATGTCTCTAAAGACGATTCAAGAATTACAAATTTCGTTGCTATCGAAACAAAATTCTGAATTATACCTTCATCGCCCTGATGTTTTGTTAAAGATTCGGTTAAGATTTGATAAGTTCCGTCTCCCAGGGAAATTTTAAGTTGTGTTCGTTTGATTCCAACTCGAACCAGCAGGTAAATCTTTTTATGTAAATGTTTAGTAAAATTTATTCGAGTTCCTTTTTAAAAATACGGTACTGTACCAATAGAAGAACGTAAAGCGCAGAATAAAGACTGACGATAGGGAACTGAAACGCCATGGGTTTTCCGAATTTTTTTTTCGTAATTAAATGAGATGAATTTGAATTGGGAAAAAAATATTGATCTTTCGGATTTTTCCAAAAACGTTGAGACCAGGCGCAGCATTTGTCAGCCTTCCTTGTGCAACTGGAAAAACGGATGAATTGGCATAGGGATTTCACTACGATTTAATCCAGACGATAATCTTACTGTAATCAACCTCAGTAATGAAAAGAACTTGAAACGATTTTGAAGAACAGCCTGCACATTACCATGAGTATCCATTCCTAATCTTGATACGGTAAGTATGACTTTTCTTTAACAGTACTGTATTTCGAATATACGCAATGCAAATCCCCAATAAACTACCTCGGAATATTCGGCGAACACTATCCCGCCAAAAATTTCGAAGATTTAAATACCTGTTGTATTGTTTTCTGCAATCAACGACATCTGTTTTCGACCAGAATTTTAGATACTTCTAATTCTAAAAGCGAATGCAATTATAATGGGAGGGCTTGAAATTCTTTGTTGTTCTACAGCATATTGTATTTTAATTCAAATTCTTAACCGAATTTCCGTAAGAATATTTGAAGAACGGGATTTAGAGAGTTCAAAAATCAGTCAACGGGTTGCGCGATTTATTTTGGATGGATATAACGCGATTTTTATCAGAATTATTTCAAAAGCTTGCGATAGTATGGAGTTGACATTCAGAGGAAGCGTAGATGGCAGTTTAAAGGGATACGAAAGTGTAGACACAAAACAGATGAAACGGCC